CCTGGAAAAGCAGGTGCGGTGACAACTACACAACTGATATTTTACGAATATAAAACAATCAAGAGTACGGACTCTAATGATATCACGTGATTCAGAAATACTTATCGGTGCATTCCCGTCTGAGAGAGAATACCGGTCAGTCAGGTGCGCGTAGTGGTCTGCGTGAGATTTGACCATTCTACCTCTCTTGTGTTCGTCTTCGCACGTCCCCCTTTTAATATGAATGCCTACCAGCTAGCTCTGGATGAATGGATGGATGGATGAATGGATGGATGGATGGATGGATGGATGGATGGATGGACGGACGGACGGACGGACGGACGGACGGAAACGCTCTAAGTTCTCACAGTTCACCAAAAAAATGCTTCGCGAACAGCTTATGGCAGAGTTCGATCTGGTGGGGCGCGCCGTGACCATCCTTACTGCGCATGTGCAACAGCTGACTTAAGCACTGTCAGAACGCACTCAGGCGCGAGCGGGTTCCGGCCTGTATAAGGGGCTGGGTAAGACGCTGTGGCCTCTACCCCTTACACTCTCTCAGCAATCATGTGATGGCATCGGAGAACGAGATTCTGCAGAAGTGCGATGAACCTATGTGCTCCCGTGAGGCGTGCTCTAACAAGAGTTCGTTCCGAATAAGTAACATGGACGTCAGTCACAGTGAATTCATGGTGCACTCCACTCTCAAGAACGCGTGAACAACGGTGAAGGTGCCAGTGATAAACGGAACTATAAGTCGACCCGTGCGCTGCTTCGCTTGCTACTCATGTTTTTTTTTTTTTTTGTCGAAGGCGGTGCAATCTTTCGGTATTGCGCAACGTGACTGTAAGACTTACATAAATTACAGGTGGTAACATGCCGGTGATAACATGTATTACATGTTCATGGTGCGTTCACGGCCGGTTAGCTAGCTCGACGTATTTACCGAAATTTCTTTTGCATGATGTGATGGTTACCGAATATAAATGATAGGTGGTGACATGAGAGTCATGACAGACATGTCATGTGCAGCTTGATTTCCTTCTTACTGGCTGCTTCGTATTGCATCGAGTCTCACTGTGCGTGGCATCTGCCAGTTTTGACTCCACATTTTGTATACTTTCCTCATAGAACTTGCTGACAGTTCCGCTAAGTCGACGAGGCTAAAAACTCAATGGCGTCACGGATCGCTATTTTTCAAGCGACTGCCGAAGTTAGCTCCTTGATGCCAGTTTTGGCAATATATTGCCACCCACACGTAATGGGTCGACGGCAATAGCAGCTCTCAACTTGGAAGAAAAAAGAAGATCGCGTGCTTCTTCTCTGCTTGAGAGCCAGCCGCGACTGACGTATTGTCCAGGAGCTATAGCTACTCGGTGGCCTAACACCCCTCCCTCTCCCTGAGTACTTCTGAATCATTGTAACAATATAGATGAACTGGGCTCCAGTCGATTTGGGCGGATTGGCAGTGTAGCTACATTCGGACGTCTAAAAGTGGGCGACTTGACTGTGTTTGCGCTATAAGACGTGCCACCGTAAAAAACGCTCCAGATGTCATTGTGATCGAGCAGAAACAAAACACCAAAGGCACATTCACATTTGGCCTTGAAGGTGTCTAAAGTGACAAAATTCACCACAATTCCGCACGCTTTCTCGCTTGAGCAGCCGCAGGACCTGGCTTCCAGCACCACGGGCCCTGACATCACATGCTTTATATAGTAGCATATGAAGCACGTGATGTCAGGCCGATATTTCAGAGTTGCGGTCAGGGAGATACTTGCATATGTAGAAGGCGCGCGGATTCCTTAGCTGCCCATCTAGTATTTAATAAGGTTGCTAATGCAACACGGGCAGTGGTGCATGGTGTAGAAGCTGCACAATGCAGAGTGAATACGAGGCAAACTGTGATGAGCCATGCACCCGGCCATGTTAATATTAATAATATTTATTTTTCATCAATAGTTTGACGAAGGACAGCTGCAGGTAAAAGCTGCTCTCCAAAAGAGGCAGCTTGACAAAGGCCCACAGCTACCTTTTGACACGACAGCAGTGGCAAACAATCAGCAATGTGAAGTGAACAACAATAACAAAAACACCAAATAGGTAAATAAATAAAAATAAATAGAGATACAAAAATCGAGCCCGAATTCCAAAAATAAAAATAGCAACCATGATAATACAGCAACTGCAAAGAAATCTTAAAAACTAAACATAGGTATATCACGCAACTGAATCTGTGTACAATGTAAAAATCTATGCCAACTTTCACATATTTATTAAGTAACGTAGAAACTATGTAGGATAACTTATCTGTGGAGTAGTTTGTTCTCGAAGTTTTTATTTGCTATGTTTCTTTATTTCGTGTTTCAAACAATGTAATATGTGCTGTAGTTTTGAGAGGTCATACAAAAAAATGTCGACTTTCTTTCAATTCACGCCTGATTGCTATTGCTAACTTAAAATTGTAGAGACGATGTACGGGTAGTATTCCAGCCCGTTTAAACAATTCGCTTGTGTGAGCATCATACAGCAAGATAAAAATGATTCTAATATACTTCTTTTGCATCAGATACAGTTTTTGCAAGTTCGTGTAAGTTGTAGTCCCCCATACCAAGAAAACATAGGTAAGATGCGAATAGAAAAGGGATTTATAAAGTAAGAGTTTTACCTTGTATGGTAGAACAGTTTTGCCACTGTACATCATACCCACTACGCGGGATAACTGACTCAGCACACTGTCAATGTGTTCAGTCCAAAGCATATTGCTCGAAAATGTAACTCCAAGAATTGTTATACTATTTACAAGCTCAATATAAGTATCGCCATACTTGAGATGCATGTTTTCATTAACGGGCTTATTTTTAGGTCGGAATAGTACCGCCTTTGTTTTACTAGTGTTTACGTTTAAGTTATTACAGCATGACCAGAGCTTTAGTTTCACAAGAAAATGGTTCAATTTTTCCTCAAGCGTGATACTATATTCAGCTGAAACAAACATGCTGACATCATCAGCACATAAGACGTATTTAGCATCTCGATAAATACGAGGTAAATCATTCATATAGGCTATAAAAAGAAGGGGTCCAAGGATGCTTCCCTGATGTACACCCTTAGTAATAGGCTTCAGCTCTGAGAATTGTCTATCTATTTTACTTCTATCGTGAATAAATACTTCGACATGAATTAGATTTCGATGCCTCCTGTATACTCGCCGTTCATGCTTTGAATGACGTCGGCGTCGCTTTTATCTAGCTTGCGGAAAACAACTTTTACTTTCTATCTACGTTTTTGCCCGACGTGGTGCCTACTGGGTATGGTGCTCGACTGCCGACCCGAAGATCGCGAGACCGCACCCGGCCGCGGTGGTCGAATTTCCCTAAAGTCAAAACGCTGCAGAAGCCAGTGTGCTTACTTTAGTCGGGACTTGAAGAACCCCAGGTAGTCGTAATTTACAGAGTGTTCCACTACGGCATTTCGCGTAATTATGTCCATATTTTAAGACTCGAAGCTCCGGCAGCTGTTTATTACCTACCGCAATTGTTGCTCTGTCCTTCACTAGCTGCCGCTAAAATATTACATTACACAGTTTCAACAGGGCCTTCTGTTCATTTATCGGCGCTAAACTAAATTTGACGCATTATCCGATTTTGCACGGGGCAGGTGGCAAAGGCTGCTGGCTGTGATGATGAGATTTGTCTAGGAAAGCTAAAAAAAGACGACGTTGACCCTGCTTTGCTTTATGCGTATGATATTGCAATTTTGCAGATTACTGGTCTCTCACTTTGAAATTTCACTTACACAAAATTAAAAAAATACGTTAAAAGGCATGATAAGACGTAGCTTGCAGAACCTAGTTATTTTTTTAAGTGATTGATGATTGCTTAAAGGAACGCTAAACATAATTAATGACATTGTTTAAAATAATCAGGTACACTCTGTGCGAACTGTAGCATCATATGCCATGTTTTCGTGACATTGGCTCGATGAAATTTTCTGAAAATTCGTATGCCAAATCTTTTGCACCCATAGATGTCAATTTTTTATATTTATTGAGTATAATCTACGTAGAAAATATGTAAACGTCTTCAAAGTCTAAGGCGCTATGTAGTTTGGTGCAATCATCTCAAAATGGAGTCTTCACCCACATTCCCTTTTGGATTGTTTTCTCACTCACGAAGCGCCATGTTCCGTTAAGAGTAGTGCTATACGGATTGTGGAATTTCGCTTTACTAATGCGCGAAAAGATGTTTTGCTATTTCGTGCAGAAGGAAGCGCCTGAACATCGACACTTCGCCCTTTGTGAAGCCAGGCTATTTTATACACGAACAATGGTTTGTAAAAGAAGGGATTGTAGTATTGCATGTAAAATAATATGTCCATATAAAACTACAAAAAATAATAGCTATAGTTCCCTACAAATTTTGTGGCTAAATCTTCTTTTGTGGTCGGCTACATTTCAGCTGCAGTTTCTCGGGCTTTTGTCTACACTGCCTCGCCTAACCTGGCAACACTGATGAGACTTATAGTTGTATTCTGCGCACGCGGCAAGCTTGGTGGGCTATCTTGCAGGGTCAACAGCGATGGTCCTAAGAAAATGCATGCACTAAGAAACACGCTACGCGCTAAGTTGAATGTGTTTTAGCGATTGTCTTAAAATACTATTTACTCGTGGGCGCTGTTACATTGGTATCAAGTAACACTGATACCAATGTAACTGATATCACCGGTTCTTGATAATGTACGCCTTGTGGCACATGTATGTGCAATTCTGATTATGTAGCGTGGTCATGCGCAGACTTTCTTTCCTATATAGTGCAGTTGCTTTGCAATAAACTATGGTTGTTAGTTTACCACTCTGTTCTCGTCTCTTTTATCCCCTCTAGTCGTTTGCGCTGTTAAACACTTTCTTCGTCTACCAGTCCAGTAACAAAACGATCAGCCCCGCTTCTTTCAGTTTATGCCTGCCGGAACCATGCCACGGCCTCACTTAATAGGAAGAGCGATGGAGTGCTCAGTCTCACCTGAAATGAGCACATAAGGGTCTCGTCGACACTCATCATGGCACCAGCGTTGTCGAACTCGCCACAGTAGTTGGGCGCCGAGAAAATTGTCACCAGTTGTCGCTTGGCGAAGAACTCGTAGCCATCCTCCACAACCTGAGCAAGCCGAAAAAGGCGAATTCATTTTAACTCTAAAAATTATTTCATTGTTCGTTATTGCAACCCTCTTATGAAAGCACTGCTTTGAATATGTTTATTCTCCTAATACTCTTGCAAAAAAAAAAAAGCACACGTGCTGTACTGACATTATGTTCCGAAGGCAGTGCACAAGACAGCAAGACGAGAAACAGAGTGCTATAGGACAGCACCTTGTTCAATGCTGTTTTGTCTCGTTTTCACTGCCTTTAAAAATGAACCATGAATAATCATCCTAATGTGACATTACACCATTATACTACTATAAATCTCTGATGCATCAAAGTGTTTTATTTTATAGATGACAAAAATTAAATGATGCTTAGGAGGGGGGATGGACGCTAAGTAAACTGCTATTCTGTGAACGTAAAGCTTGGCTTTCGTTCAGGGGACCATATTGCAAAGTGAAGAAGTATGCAACAGAAGTAAAAAACAAAGAAAACTCACCTGGTGTGCCCTGCAGATGAGATCGAGGTCGTGCTTGTGCAGAAACTTTGCGACCACATCGGCACCGAAAGTGAAGGAGACTCCACGGTCGTTCTCCCCCCAGCCCATGATGTCCTTGTCGGGATCGGCCCACAGCAGGTCACACAGCAGGCCCTGATCGGGCACGTCCGTTGGCCGCATTATCCGCCGCACCTGCTCCATCGACTGCAGGTCGGGACTTAGACCTGCAAGTACATTAGCGGAATATATTTTTCTGTGGAAAGACTGCATCCTGACCTCCTGTGTTGTACCATCCAGGATACAGCTATGTGTGTAGGCTACTGAAACCGTACTTCACGGGTCAAAATACCCAACCAGTGGGCAAGTCACTAGAAGCCACCGGCTTCAAGAGGAATAAAATGCGACTTTGGTAAATGATACAAGTGATACAAATGATACCAGCTGCGGCTATTAACGCTATCTTCAGGTGAGCTACAGAGACGGGACTGGTCTGAAGCACCTTTTTCGTTAAGTACCCCATGCACTGTCTATGTGTTAAGTGATATACATGGAACAAACACTGCGTTTTTGTGAACTGATGTACATGGTTCAGTAATTCTAATCCACTTCAGAAATTGTACATATAAGATTTGGGAATGCCTTGTTTGAAATGACAGTGTTAGGTTAAATTATATCTACCCTTTCTTCCCGCTTGAATCTCCTTAACTATACGAACTCTTGTGGGACTAAATTTGGTGGCTGCGGCCCACAAGCTGAAGTGACGGACCCCTGCTGCACTAGTCATCCTATGGACAAGGTTAATAAGTACTACAGACCTCAACATTTCGTTGCATAGAAGCCAACAGTGCTCTTCATGTTGCGCGCATCAAGGTGAGCGCCAGTGATCTTCGATATAGTTTATCTACGCGTGATCGAGGCGATGCCTTTACGAGAGTGGCGTGTGAATATTTAAAGTTTTTAATGCGCATCAAATATTTACTTTCTCGAAGCACATTTTAGTATATGTAACGGGCATGAGTGGGCAAACCCGCTCACGAGTCAACTCTCCAGACGTACTCGTTGTAATATGAGGCCGTGAGTGTGAATCTGGATGGGTCCGGGTCAGAAAAAAACTAGCAGCTGTTCCGTGTACGGATACAACCAATGAGTGAACTTTTTCAGAAATGCCACGGACACGACCATGTACGTTTTCACTCTGTTGAGCGGAGACATTTTAATAGAACATTTCCGGCTTTTGCTTGGTCTTGATGACTGCCTTGTACTTATGAAGGGTGTCTTGAGGGGCTTGATTAGAACGTCCGGCGATGAAATTCGACTAGAGGTGCGAAACCGCTTAATGTTAATTGACAGAAACGTCCACGTCACTTCACAGCTTACGCAGCAAGTCACTGCGCATCTTTTAAACGTCCACCAGTGCGTTCGCGCACTGTCACTTGACACCTTATTGTGCTTATAGCTTGGTGAGACGGCAGATATAAAGAGATTTGGAGTGAGATGAGCTGTCCTTCGACGAAATTCTTTCTTGTCAAGTGATGCGGTTTTGGCGGGTAGTATAAGCCTTTCACCATGCTGAACGGTGCCAGCATTGAAACTCAGCGCAGTCGTCCGAACGGGAAAACGTTTCTTTGAGCACTCCGACTGTGAGTTCACGTTTTGGCTCGCTGCGAATACCACCGGTGTGAGACATATTGTTCTCCAACCATAGTCTGCCACGTACACGCAACTGTGCCTGAAAGTGCAGTCGGTACCGAGCGCCTGAAACAAGTGTCGACACTGATGTTGAAGTAGGGTGGCCCACTTCATCGTTTTTTACAACCGCATCACGTGCTCGGTCAACCTGCATTTCTTGTACAATGGGCTGCATCTCTTGGCGAGGGCCTAGCGTGTCGCATTCCGTGCTTGAAACGTCTCCCGTTTGCGCAGGTCTTCGTTATCCGCACTATGAGCCCGACGACGAGCACTTTCTGCTAGTGGTTCCCAAAGTGTCTTGCTCACGCATGCTTCATTTTCGCGTACGAAGTTGCGACTATGCACCAGATTTCGCTGCTGGCTTTCACGAGGGCAGTATTCGTAACTTTCACGACCTCTAGGTGGCGCGACTGTGCATTCAACATGACGGTTGTCGAGATGATCGCCCCGAGAGAGACGGTACCGGAAAGTATGCCTCTGACGAAGAGTGCAATTCTTCGTACTTGCGTGGCCCTTCGAACTATGTTTTTGATGAAGTACGGGAGCACTAACATACTATATTAAGTAAATGAAGGTCGGGTAGCACAATGGGTAGACAAATATGCGCAAAATTGTGAAAAAGGCCCACACGTACGCTCTTCACATTGATGACTGTGCGTAATCACGCGCAACGCCTGGTGTCATGTTGGAAAAGTATTATAATGGGAGCCTTAGTACGAATTTGTGAGTCATATCAGAAACATTTCTGGGGACGCGCTTTGCCTTACAGTTGTGCTCGCGTTGCATTCTGCGTGATGCTTGTTCAGCTAACCTAAAAGTACGAGGTAGAATAAGCAGACAAAAAATGTATTTTATTACCGATGCATAAGCACCAACTTAGGCTTGTCATATTGCCGGCAATATGATCTTAGAATGCATTCTTGATTAAAAAACAACAGAATACTAATAGAATAAACATGCAAGCAGTGAATGAAACCAGTGGTAATATGCAAAAGGTGGCGTTCCCATTATTATTCTGTGTTTCCGTGGTTGATAATTACAAAATATAGCATGGTACGAGCCAAAAAAATTGCCCGCAGCTTCCCTCGGGGGAACACTGAGGAGGATGCAGAGCATATAATTGGTTAACGGGGTGTTAAAGTGCGACTTACTTGGGTCGATGGCTAAATTGGTTAACGTGGTTGTGAAATGGGGTGTTAAATTGCGACTTACTTGGGTCGATGGCTAAATTGGTTAACGTGGTTGTAGGAGGGGTTGTTAAATGAGTGAACACGTACACACGTATGCGAAAGGGCGGCGCTGGTCGAAGGGACGTCGATCATTGTGTTTGTGGATTCGTTGGAATTCATTTCACCGCGACCTTGGACGTCGACGCGCCGTACAAACCAACCGACGAGCGGCAACTGAGCGAGCGAGCGCCGACTTTGAGTATATATACAGCGCGACGGCGCATGCACTGTCAGCTGTCGAATGTTCGAGAAGGGGGAGAAGCGCAACGGCGCATGCGCGCGCGTCAGCTGCCGATGTTCTCGAAGCGCGACGGCGCATGCGCGCGCGTCAGCTGCCGATGTTCTCGAAGCGTGACGGCGCATGCGCGCTACATTATACAGCTAGCGAATGTTCGTGAAGAGGAGAAGCGCACGTGGTGTGTAGAGGAGGAAGGGTGCACAGCTGGTGGAGGAGTGAAGCGCGCGCGGTGTGTAGAGGAGGAAGGGATGCACAGATGGTGGAAGAAGGAGGAGGAAGCTTGCGGACGGCGCCGCACTACAAGCCTCGAGTATTAGATGCTCCGCATCTAAAACGACAAAAAAAAGCACCATCAGCAAGTAAGAGCCAACATAAACAGCTACAAATGTGAAGGTCATGTAGGCACTTCGCAGACGCTTCAGATGTGCAACGATGCAATGAACGCTTTGAAACCAGTCCTTTCATTCTATGCTAGAGGCGGAATACATTCTTAATTTAGTACTGGTACTGATTACACAGTGGCCGTGTCGTGCAGACAAACTAAGAGTGAAAACTGCAAATCTAGAAGTTGCTGTACTCGTACACAAAATTAGCGCTGCATACATTCACGTGCATCGGTTATTTGCCAGCTAAATTGAACCCTCTTAACCACTCATGGCTTTCTGGGGCACTAATTTGAACGGGAACAAGCAGGATTTCGAAGAGGCTACTCAACAATTGACCACATTCATACTATGAATCAGCTAATAGAGAAATGCTCAGAATACAACCAACCACCATACATAGCCTTCATAGATTACGGGAAGGCGTTTGACAGTAGAAGTATCAGCCGTCATGCAGACACTGCGGAATCAGGGCGTTGATGAATCATATATAAACATCCTGGAAGAAATCTACAGGGGATCAACAGCTACCATAGTGCTTCATAAAGAAAGCAACAGAATACCAATCAAAAAGGGTGTAAGGCAGGGGGACACAATCTCCCCAATGCTATTTACCGCGTGCTTACAGGAGGTTTTCAGAAGCCTAGAATGGGAACAGTTAGGGATAGAAGTTAATGGAGAGTACCTTAGTAACCTGCGCTTCGCCGATGACATTGCATTGCTGAGTAACTCAGGGGACGAATTGCAACTCATGATTACAGAGTTAGACAAGGAGAACAGAAAGGTGGGTCTTGAAATGAATCTGCAGAAAACGGAAGTCATGTACAACAACCTCGGAAAAGAGCAGCGCTTCGAGATAGGTAATAGTGCACTTCAAGTTGTAAAAGACTATGTCTAATTAGGGCAGGTAGTAACCGCGGAGCCGAACCACGAGATTGAAGTAACTAGAAGAATAAGAATGGAGTGGAGCACATTTGGCAAGCACTCTCAAATTATGAGAGGTAGATTGCCACTGTCCCTCAAGAGGAAGGTATAGGGTATAACTGTATATGGTATATGGTATATCCTACTAGCCCAACTTTCGATTCTGTAGGAAGGTATATAACAGCTGTATCTTGCCGGTGCTTAGCTACGGAGCCGAAACCTGGACTTACAAAGAAGGTTCAGCTTAAATTGAGGACGACCCAGCGAGCAATGGAAAGAAAATGGTAGGTGTAACCTTAAAAGACAAGAAGAGAGCAGAGTGGATTAGGAAACAAACGGGGGTTAAGGATATCATTGCTGAAATCAAGGAGAAGAAATGGACATGGGCCGGGCATGTAGCGCGTAGACAGGATAATCGCTGGTCATTAAGGGTAACTAACTGGATTCCCAGAGAAGGCAAGCGGGATAGGGCGGGACAAATGTTAGGAGGGCAGATGAGATTAAGAAGTTTGCGGGTATAAATTGGCAGCAGCAAGCACAGGACCGGGTTAACTGGCGGAACAGGGGAGAGGCCTTTGTCCTACAGTGGACTTAGTCAGGCTGATGATGATGATGATGAATTTGAACGGGAGGTTTACTTTTCCTTCTGGTGTAGATAATCTGTGAGCATCAAGGCACGCAGTGACATCAGTCGGCCTTTAAATGCGAAGCATTTCTTAGCGAACTTCAGCTACATCTATCTATCTATCTGTCTATCTATC